TCTGCCTTATAATATTTCTTTATAAACATAAGCATAAACATAAAAATCTTGTTTCAGGTTTTTTTCAGAACTGCCATGGCTTGCCACTAATTTCAGTTAGCTAGGATGTTGCAAACAATATAAGGACAGCACTTTGTGCTCTACTGCAGATTTCTTAACTGGCTATTCTCAGTTTGTCCTTGATTTCTATATCCAGTTCATTTTAGTTTGCAGGTAATTAATCATTTCATCAAATTTTCACAACTTTGTATATATTGTCCCTGTTCCCACTACTTTTTTTCTTCATTGTGTTCCTTTGTTTGTTGTTGTTAGTTGCGAAGTCGTGTCCAACCCATCGCGACCCCATGGACAATGTTCCTTCCTGTCCTCTACCATCTTCTGGAGTCCATTTAAGCTCACGCCTACTGCTTCAGTGACTCCATCCAGCCACCTCATTCTCTGTCGTCCCCTTCTTCTATTGCCCTCAATCTTTCCCACCATTAGGCTCTTCTCCAGTGAGTCCTTCCTTCTCATTAGGTGGCCAAAGTACTTGAGTTTCAACTTCAGGATCTGGCCTTCTAAAGAGCAGTCAGGGTTGATCTTCTCTAGGACTGACCGGTTTGATTGCCTTGCAGTCCAAGGGACTTGCAGGAGTCTTCTCCAGCACCATAGTTCAAAGGCCTCAATTCTTTTGCGCTCAGCCTTTCTTATGGTCCAACTTTCACAGCCATGCATTGCAACTGGGAAAACCATGGCCTTGACTATATGTACTTTTGTTGGCAGGGTGATGTCTCTGCTTTTTAGTATGCTGTCTAAATTTGCCACAGCTTTCCTCACCAGGAGCAAATGTCTTGTAATTTCTTGGCTGCAGTCCCCATCTGTGGTGATCTTGGAGCCCAGGAAGATAAAATCTGTCACTACCTCCATTTTTCCCCATCTATTTGCCAGGAATTGAGAGGGCTGGATGCCATGATCTTGGTTTTCTTAATGTTGAGTTTCAAGCCAACTTTTGCACTTTCCTTCTTCACCTGCATCAAGAGGCTCTTTAGTTCTTCTTCACTTTCTGCCATTAGAATGGTATCATCTGCATATCTTAGGTTGTTGATATTTCTCCCGGCAATCTTAATTCCAACTTTTGATTCATCTAGCCCTGCCTTTCTCCTGATGTGCTCTGCATATAAGTTAAATAGGCAGGGCGACAGAATACAGCCTTGCCGGACTCCTTTCCCAATTTTGAACCAATCAGTGGTTCCGTGTCCAGTTCTCACTATTGCTTCTTGATCCGCATATAGGTTTCTCAAGAGACAAATAATATGGTCTCGTACTCCCATCTCCTTTGTTTAGGTAAGGAAATATCTCTGAAACAATGATCCAATGGAACATGGGTTGACTGGTTAATTATTATTGCCTTCATTTACTAACTTCATCTCATTTTGAGCTTTTACCTAACACCTAACTCTACAGTTTCAAGGTATATGTACTGTTTCTCTGTGATGTGGCCGTCTTTCCATTTCTTATACATGCCCTGTTGTTGTTTATCCCTCTTTAACCCAAATGCTTTCATTGCATTGTCAAGTTTGTATACAGTATCATCAATATATAAAATTAGGCATTTTATAGAATAACTAGGAAATCTATATAATGCCAAAAGGCAAACTAGTAAAGTATAAAACACTCTCTCTAAAATGCCACTGTAGTGTTCCTTGTTGCAACAAGTAGGTCAATACTACTAGTATTTCTTTTTTCATTTTCATATATGTTTTTCAATAAAGTGTTAAAGTTACGGTTTACCCTTACCCTAACCCTTTTCATGACTCTATTTTCATACTTTGCCTAAATAGTTCTTATCATTCTGCATAATGGCTAGGTATTAAATAGAATGCCTAGGGAAGGCATGTAGTATATTAAAATAACACAGACATTTCATATTTTGCCTAAAATATCTCACATTCTATAGATTTCCTATGCCAACTATGCCAACATTTCATACATTGCCAGTAACATATATATGGATTTCAAAACAGGAATCAATGTTTTTAACATACAGTGCAACTCTTCGCCTCTTTCCATTGCTTCTGTTTCATTTGAATGAATTCAAAATAATCTTCCAATTATTCTATTTCAGTCAAATCTGTATAAGAGCTTGAAGGCCATGAACTTCAAGAATCAGGGTTCTTTCTGATTTTTCTTGGAATGGTTTAAGAAACCTCATTTCAGGAACATCCCTGATTTCTGCAAGATGCCTGCCTTTATCTGTGTTCCTTACTTCTGGAGTTTTATCAAATGTTTTACCAGTCCTTCTGAAGATCCATCATGCAGAGGACTCAGACAATGATCTGATAAGTCAAAATTGTCCTGCCAACATCATTTGTGTAGACACTGATTCAGTGGTGGGATTCAGCCAGTTCGCACCACTTTGGCAGAACCAGTAGCTAATTTTTTTTGTTGCCCAGGCCAAGAATGGACTTCCGGAAGCAGCATCCACACCGAGAACCGGTTGTTCACATATTTGAATCCCACCACTGCACTGATTCTAAGTATTTGGGGAGAGAGGCCCCTTTCCAGGCCTCTTCCATGAACTGGAAAGGTACTGAAACAGTAAAAGATATGATCTAAAGAGAAATCAACATTGCACAACTCCCTTGTAGTGTCCCCTCAGGTATTTGGTTACACCACTTCCAAGCCTTTTACTGTGACCCTTATGCTAACACTTATGTGATGGATGGACCATTATCTCACTAGCATAGTAGCCCCCAGTCACATGCAAAGAAGTAAAAAATATTAACCAGCTTAAGTGTGATAAAACCCCTGGTAGTGACAGTACCCCCCCCCTGAGCTAATGAAATGAAATCCAATTCAAATTGGTGGACCCTTGTATTGACCTCTTTATTCTCTTACATATGCCACACAGCAAGATTCTAGAGGACTAGAATTGTTTCCTTATTTAAAAAGAGGGACAGGAAAGATCCAGCTAACCATAAGGTAATTAATTTATTGAACATCATTAGTAAACTATATGCCAAGTACGCATTTACCACACTTCAAACCTGGGTAATAGAAGAGGGAATAATTGACCCAGAGCAGTCAATTATTCAACTATGCAGGTCTACTACAGACTATTGCCTAGTGCTTCAACATTTGGCAGATAAATATACAAACCAATTTGATTTGAATTTATATGCAGTCTTTATTGATTTAAAGGAAGACTTTGATAATATCCCAGGGGTAAAACATTGAGGCATTCTGAGCAGATCCTCTACAGATAAAAGACTTTTGCTTCTAATTCATAAACTATATGATAAAACTGGCCTTAGAATAAGATGTAACCAGGAAGGGGAGCAGTCCAAATTTATTTAAACGGGTGGAACAAGAATGCATCCAAGCACCATTGCTTTTTAACATATATCTCAACTCTCTGATTAAAACTCTCCAGAGAGTTGGTATTCATGTTCCTAATTTAATTGACAGGTATCTCCCAATTTTACTCTATTTTAATGATACTGTTCTTCTCTCTTCATGTCTTCTGTAGATATGAAGCAGGCACTGAGAATCCCGACATTCTACTATAATAAGGAACAATTAATAATCTATTATGACAAACCTAAAGTTGTAGGGGGGTTTTCTAGCAAAAGACAAAAGCACCAATGGATGATTGATTCCCATGAACTGGAACAGATTAAACATTTTTAAATACTTGGTCATAGTATTTCAGGCTTCCAAGAAATTTACATTCCAGGTAAATTATGCCACTTCTACTGCCCAAAAGAGCACACAAGCAATAATTAAATTTCATAGCAATGGGACAAATTACATTCCAACAGCAGTTAAATCATTTATTGATGAATTGTTGTTCAATTATTATATGGAATACAAGTTGGCCCATACACAAATTGGTAGTTTATGAAGCCATTCAATCAAATTCTCATAGATTATTTGGTACCCCAAACTGCATCCCTAATGCAGACTTGAAGCTTAAAGCTAATGTGCAACTATTAAAAGCAGGTCTGGATTAGGATTCTAATCTCAGGATTTAGAATCATGTTTGACCCTGAAGGCCTGATGCCTTTGCTACTGTCAAACAATTATCAGTCTCATTAACACTGCATCTGTACAGCAGAAATTGCAGTCTTGGCCTCTCTCCTGAACAATTAAGCTAATTAACCCTAGAGAAGGCAAAATTAACTTTGGAGAAAGAAAAAGAGAAAATTAGGGATATTGCCAAAATGATATCTTCAGTGCTCCTGAATTCTATTTCCAAATGCTAGACAGTTGCAAGCTCTCTACTCTGAGGTAGCTATACAATTTAATCCTAAGGAAATATAGATGGCCCTCTTACAGAGCCCACTTTGATACACTTCCATCAGCTCTACTGGCAGGAAGATTTCATCGGACTCTTTATTTGCAGAGATTTTGCCCTTGTGGATCCAGGGAGGTAGAAACTCTCGGTTATGTTTTCATATGTCACTCTTTCTATGATGTCCCCCAAAATGTCTGCAAACCCTAGCATTCTGAAAGGCTCATAACACTGGCATTTGCTAGCTTTTTCCCTTCCAGAGAAAGCTAATGTTTCTACTCCTCTGGAGGAGAAAAAGCTAGCAAACACTAGCATACCCTTCCAGAGTGATAGGGTTCACTTACTTTGTACCAAATTTGAGATCCGTTCCTCCAATGCTCCAAGGGATTTCCCATCAATCAGACAGTGTGTTGGAGGAACAAACCTAAAATTTGGCAAAAATGCTAGCAAATGCCATCATTCTTACCATCATTCCCCCAGTGGAGCAGAGAGAAAGCAAAGGCCTTGGGAGACCTAGGCACTTTTCACAGCACTCCATTTAGCAACGTGCATGGTTGAGTAAGAACCATAACTGGAAGAATTGGCATTGCAGTCACCTGGCATCTTGCTTAACTGCTTCGCTCAGTGATCAAAATTCAAGGCCCAATTGTGGTGGTAAATGGAGGACTAACTATAGAATAAGTGAGGCACACAATGTTTGTCCATTCTAATTATATGTTTTGCTCACCACATCTGAGCTCTGATCATCAGGGATCCAATACTGGTGGATTTCACATGATCCAAGACACCCCCAGGTTGAAGACATGGTCTTACCATCAAATGTAACAAATGTCAAGGGTGGAGTGGAAGGTGCTCATATGAAATTTCTCCAGTCACTAATACAGAGTCCAGGACTCAAATACATATAAGATACAAGGGATAACCACAGCTCTTTAAGCTTTCAATTTTATGGAGATGCAAATGTTGGGTTGATTGAGCACTCTAACATGCAACCACCCCAGACTTTTGCTAACCCCTGAGTTAATTTCTTTTTCCAAATACCCATGTCTTGAGATTATTCTTCCCAAGTACTTGAAACTATTTAAATTTGTCAGCAGGATGCTATCAAAAATGAGTTTTGGTTCTATAGGCTTGGTGTTTAGGTTGATATACTGAAGAGCATAGCAGCATCTGAGACTCTGTTCAGCATCAACTGTTGGCAGAAGTGCAAAATCATCAGCAAAGAATGTTTCTTAAAGACTGTGTGGGAGGCACTTTATCCAGTAGTTCAAGCAACAAAAGAGAAGTCCAATCAATACCTGAAGTATACTCCCTCCTTCAATCCTTGGACATATCACCACTGCGAAAGACCTGTCCTATCATTCCATCATAGAGCAGCTGAATCAATTTCACAAATTTCCTCAGGTATCCATAACATCCTAAAATCCATGCATATATACAGAATATTTGGATAATATGTAATTTACAGAGAAGGAACTTATTATGCACAGTATGAATTGGTGTTAGGTACAATGTACTTCCTGAATCTCCTGGCTCTGATAGTTATTTTGATATGCGCTTAACTTTCCCTTATTTCAAATACTTTATGTCTTCACATATATTTTGCTTTATTGATCTGACATTCTTGATTTTTATAATTGCCAGTTAACTAGCAAAATGATTCATTAATATGACTAAATCATAATGTAATTGATTTTTTTCTCATTTTGTGTAATTATTCCTTTCTATAAATTGATTCTGAGCAGCTTACAAGATCCACCTTTTATGGTGAATGGTTTTATTCAGACTCATCCTTTATAAAGTTTTATGGAAACCAAGCCACCTAATCTTGTTAAATAAAATGCACACTAATTTTACACAGAGCATTTGGTCATTTTAAAGAAACTCTTAGAATTGCAGTATTGGAAGGAGGCAGTTCATTGAATCCAACTTTCTGCTTAAGCTAGGAATACAAATCCAAATTAAAACATCCCACAGATATCTCTCTAGCCCCCACTTGCATACCTACATGAAAGAAAACCCATAACTACTATGGGTAATTGGTTCCATTATTGAACTGCTCTTATTATTGAAAGGTTGTTGTAACATTTGAGTAAAATCTGCCTTCCTGTAACTTGAATCCATTATTCCAAGTCTTATACTATGGAATGAGGGAGAGTATGTGGAAAGTTAAATCCCACAAACCACAACAATATTCTTTAAAGATAGGAGTTATTTTAGCCCAACAGTGTGCATTAGCAATAAGATTTTGTTTAGATCTTGATTTAGTATTTTTAAAACTATATAATTCATCCTGGATTGATTTGGAGGTTACCCTGTTTGACTCAGTGGTGAAAATCCAAATCACAGTATGTAAATCTGGATTATCATATTAATATCCTAAGGAATTATCAAATGGCAAAAGATCCTGTTTTCATTCCACTAATTTGATTAAATGTGTAGGCGTATTATAAAGAAAGTTCCAAGTCAGCAGATGGAGGCTAGACAATTTTGAAGTTCAATATGTATTTGTTTCTTCTATTTCAGTTGAATTTCACAAACCTTTCTGAATCAACATCATTCAATTCTGAATTCAGAAGCTGCTCTGTACATTGCTAGAGTTGTCTCCCTCTTCTTTCTTCCTAATTTCTCTACAAAGCCATTCTTGAGAAGTGAACAGATATCAAGACTTGCATATAATGCAGCCTAAGCACATGGTGGTGATAGGATATAATGTGATGTGATGCAGCTTAGCAGGAATGGAAAAAACAGACACATCTCTTTAGTTTCCATTTATGCAAGGAAAGCCAGTTTGGTCTAGAGGTTAAGACTCCAGGCTAGAAAGTAGGAGACCGTGAGTTCAAGTCCTGCCTCAGCCATGAAAGCCAACTGGGTGATTTTCAGCCAGTCATTCCCTCTCAGCCCAATCCATCTCATAGGGTTGTTGTTGTGGGAAAATAGGAGGAAGGTATGTTGGATATGTTCATCGCCTTGAGTTATTTGTATAAATACAGGCAGGCTAAAAATAAATAAAGAACTCTAGATTAAAATTAGGACCTATTAAACAGTAGGATAATATGCTATATAAGCATAATATTTGTATTCTCTTTCTCTTACAGTAGCAGTTAGCTCACAGGCTTCTTAAGAAAGGATCACTATTATAAAACAAGGCAGAGTTCTTTGAAAGTGTAATTCAGTGAGAATAAAGTCCTTCTCCCAGAAAGGAGTGCAGGTTTTGAAGCTGTGCTTGGGCTTGTTCTAGTTCATGAATATGGTGCCAAGTCATCCCTAAGAATAAGAGGAAGAGGAATGTTAGATTAGCAAGAAACCCAACCAAAAAAGGAATATATTTCCACCTTTAGCAAAGACTAGAAGAGCAGGTTAGGCCTGCTCAGCATTATTGCTTTTTGTCCTAATCATGTTTCTTATGTTGGGCATGTTTGGTATCTGAATGCTCAGCCCTTGAGTGTGTCTCATTTCATCCTATAGAAACGTCTCTAATACGCTAAGCATCATCATTAGTAAGATCCAAAGGGGTGCTGTTCATTTTCAACTTCTTGTGATAAAGCTTAGAGAAAGCAAGCTTCATGAGTCAGAAAACTATGTCTAGGAAAAGGACATTCACAGTATTTTGGCTAGGTAACAAGGGAAAAATAAAGATTTCTTTGAGACTTGCAGAGCTTTTACATACCCTGTGCTCTCTAGAGTCAAGTGGCGGCAGCTTCAGCTTAATGTGATCAAGGTTTTAATTGGATAGAAATTCACTCATCAAGTGATTTGTGAAATAATATAAGGTGTTTATGCATTTGGAACACATGTTATCATGCAGAGATTGCAGAAATTCTACATTAGACAGAAACTATAAAAATAAGTGGCAGAGAAACCACTTACACTGACTTTCTTCTGTTTGGTAGATCTGTGTCATACAATATCTCCACCAACTATTATATATAAAGAATCATGGATGCCATTTACTTCTGTCTGTTGCAACTCATTTCATGGTAAACTGCGATTCTTTGGGAAACAGCAGACAAGTGCCAATTTTTTTACCACATCTGTAATAGATATGCTGACAAGCATGCTTATCTTCATAAAAGAAGATATTAGGGCAACTAATTAAGTTACATTACTGCTGCATAGTCTAATGCAGGGGTGTTAAACTGCTGGCCCGCGGGCCGGTTGCATCATATGGAGACCGCGCCCACCCCAGCTCTGGCAATGCAAAAAACATTGCAATATGTCGCGACATGTCATGTGACATGGCGAGTTTGACACCTATGGTAAAAAAAATGTATAAAATTTTGTAAACCACTCAGTTACTGGGATTCAGGCAAAATTTAAGAAATTGTTATTATTGCTGCAAAATGTGCACATTCATTCACACATAGGAGCAACGTACAATTGTCTACCATTTGGATTAGACCAATTCATACAGAAGCCACTCAAGCAGTTAAAATTATAGGCAATTACAAATGAATGATTTCCATGTATCACCAAGCTCAGACTTCAGGGTAATCAGAGAAAGGATATGTTAAAATGCCAAAGATACTGTGATTGATTTATGCTAAGCAAAGACTCTGCTAGACCCAAACTCCATCTCTACCAAATTCTTATTCATAAAAATGATAATTGCTCCTTCACCTTAATCATGTTTAATATCCTCTTTCCACAGGAATGCTAGAGTCCTGAGAAAATGACCTCATAGATAGATTTCTTGTTTATCATAATAAAGTCTAGTGAAGACTCTGAAGTATTACTGGATGTTATATGATTTTTGACTGATGGAGCAAAATAAAAACATCGCAAGCAATTCACAACAACAATAGGCAAAGACAAGTTAACTTTGTTTCATTTTAATTTTTATCTTCATATTTAACCATCTTAATGTATGTACAATATAGATGATCCCTCCTTTTTACATGAGGTCACATGGGTGAGCTCCTTAAACTTGGATCATTGAAGCATTCAGGCTTTCCAAAACCATACAGAAAAACAATCTATATACTTCATAGCCCAAGTTTCATCTCCTACAAATCTCAATTCCATAAGTATTCCCCTTCCCTGCCTTTCAACCAGGAGCATAAACAAGGAATGGGGTGAGGTGGGGCAGGAATAGATTATGAAGATAAAACACACCCATTGGATTTGGAATGCTTCCTGTTGGGAAGATTGGAATAAACTGAAAAAGGATAAAAACTAGAACATAGAATTGGAACCCTCCTTTCTTCAACATTTTGTTACAAGTACCACTTGTTTAATATGAACCAATGCAGCATTCTATCCTTATTGGTGAAAAATGTTCCCTTCCTAGGGGGAAAAAATAGCGATTTGTTCAGAAACATTCCAACCTGTGAGCCAAGTCAGCTCCTTTCAATGATCATACCAAAGAAGCAACATTCCTACCACTAGCTAAAAAAACATTGTTATCTAATGAGCAATTGTAAAACATTTGTTTTAATTGCTAGGGAATCCAAATGGGCTAACATACTAGTAAATGTGTTTATCTGAAAGAGAGTTTTGTGAGTGATGGAATTCCATAAAGCTGAGTTGTGGCCACTGAACGTGAAAACTAAATCTCATCAACTCAGTATTTTTAATGTAAATTTTAAAATTTGCAGAACAAATGTATACAAACATGTTCTAGCCAAGATATTAGTAACAATTACAATTTGTTCTTACCACCATCTCCCAAAAAGATACCAGAACCAGCATAACTGCATCTAACAGTATTTCTTTTACAGATGTGGTCCAGAACTCTATTTTCTCCTGTCCTAATCCTCCATAAACAAGATTTAAAAGGATTCTACAGACACCAATGACAACATA